ACAAATAGCTTTATATGATTAAGTTTTGAAGAACTCTCAAAAGCTTCTGTACAACTCATTATTCTTGGTAAAGAAAAACCAAAGTTATGAACAAAGTTCTCTATACACAATGAGTAATAATTTCCTTACAGTTCTAGAAAGACTTAGTTATATCACGGACAAAAGTAAATACGTTATGAAATAATGGCTAATTATGATTCTCTGTGTCACAGATGGTTTCTCACTGCCACTTGAGACTACATCAAGTCTGCCCCTATGGCAACAAGGAAAAAAGGGAGTGGGGGGGGGAAAGGTGCAAAAATCCTGAGATTAATCATGGAAAGCAAATTGCTCTCTGTAGCAGTAACAACATGGAGGTATTGTTTCTTTGTTTAATGGCCATAGGGGGGTAAGAAAGGGCAAAAGTGTAAAACTGAATTTGAAAGAAATCAAGAGATGTAGAAGCAGAAATGCAAAAGAAGATAGGGAACAGAAAAGGAAATAAAATAAGAAAGCTCTTCCAAGGATCAGCATTTTCTTTCATCTCAAGAAACAGTCCTTCAGAAATGTAAAGGCAATTTGTTTGCAAGAACAGAAAAAGATCAGCTTCAGAAATTTCAGATATGGGACAGAGTGTCTATAAATGCATGGTTTCCGACTTCATTGGGGGTGGGGGTGGTTCTCAGTGCTAGTCAGCAGTCATTTTTCTTACTTGTCTTATTAGTGGTTTTCAACCCAGGCTACACATTAGAATCAGCTGGGGAGCCTTAGAAACTATTCCTACACAGACTCCACCCTCAGATATTTTGATATTATTGGTTCCCGTCTAGCACACAGAATGGAATTTTCTTAAAGGTCCTCAGGTGATCCACATAGGTAACTAAGATAGTGAACTATCATCTGATTAGGGGTCAAAAAACATTTTTTTTAATAAAGAACAAGATGATAAATAATTTAGGCTTTGTGTGGCAACTGTTCAACTCTGCCATTGTATTGCAAAGCTTTTAAATGGGCGTGACTGTGTCTCAGTAAAACTTTATTTACAAAAATAGGTGGTAGGCCGGATTTGGCCTGTGGGCCACAGTTTATCCACCCCTGGTCATTAGACTGTCTCTTTCCTCTCCCTTTTCCTAAAACCACTGTTGCAAACCTTCACCCTATGTCATCCCTATGCCTGATTTTTAGCTGATGACTCTATCTTGCTTCAATCATCCAGCTGGAAATTCTTCAACTTCCTTGTCTACCACCTGCAGATTCAGTGCACCTATGTTCACATCTGTCCTCATCAATTTACTGTAGAAGCAGCACCTCTTCAAGGTGAATCTGATCTTCTCACATATTCAATTCCATCACTCTCTCTCTGACTCCTCTGAGACCCTTACTCCACAAAGGATCCCATCTCCTATGTCTTCAACATCTCCATCTCTACTGGCTCTTGCCCTTCAGCTAACAAATATATCTAAGAATCTTAGGCAAAGAACCCTCAAAGCCTTCTTGAATTCCGTGTCCTCCTCTAAATACTCACCCATGTCTCCCCTTCCCTTAGAAATTCTATAACCACTGCCTGTCCCCTGTCTCTTCCCATTCACTCTTCAAGTCACTGCAGTCTAGCTTCTGTCTCTACTACTCCACTCAAGGTGCTCTTATCAAGAATGCTCATGACCTTCATATGGTAAATTTCTAGTTCTTGTTTTACTTGTTTTCTCTGAAGCATCTGACATTGTCGACTCTACCGAAAACCCTCCCCCGACTTGGTTTTTACAATGCTATGGCATCTGTCACAATTTGTTCTTCTGTTGCAGGGCTTCTATGCTATTATTGCCTAATATTATTTGACAAACTCTTTTTTGCTCCTCATGCTATGTATTCCTCAGTTATTCTCATGGCAACAACCACCACCTACATGTGATAACTCTCACATTTTATCCCTAGCTCACACCTCTTTCTTAAGCTCTAGGGTCATATTTTCAAATACCTATGTCAACCTGTACTTGGGTATCTTTTTTTCCCTACTATTGTTTTTCCTTTATTCTCTACCTTGGTTAATAGCTCACCATCAACTCAACTGCCAAAGGTAAAATTCTCACTCTCCTTCAGGGCCCCTAATAATACTGTGCGCATTTTAAACAACGTCTACCTAAAGATATTTCACTTGTATCTGCGCAGTGGATGGCAACTATATACGTTCAACCATACATGGTGCTCCTGTTTTCCCTCCAAATCCAAACAGCCACCAAACCCTCATGATTCTACCTTGAAATACCTCCTGAATCCATCTCCTTTTAGCCCCTGCCATTGCAAATTTTTAAGGCAGACTTTACTCAGCCCTCACCAAGATAATTTTCGATAACTTCCTAATAGATTTTTTTCCTTGCCATAGCAGTAGCCTCTGTTTCCTGTTTCTCTTTTTGCTTCCTCCTCAGGTCACTGTCCAATTCCTAAGAAAACTGCTTACCATATTTCAGGAGTAGAAGTGCCATGGTTTTATGTAAGGAAATAGTCATCCTTTCTCTTTGGTTACCCATTCTTCTTGATGAAATAAGATATGTCATTTAGCTTTTTGGTCTTGTGTTGCTAAAATCACTAAGACAGGCAATATCCTGAGAAAGTCGGAGTGCTACATTTTAAATAAGATGATAATAAATGAGTCACCCACTAAGGATGGTGATCAATGTGGTGATGGGACTCCAAGTCACAATCAGTAAGAGGTAATGCGAAGAATCAGAAAATTTATCCTGGAGAAGATTCCAATTCTTTCCCGGAGCAGATGAATTTGGATATCTTTTTTCTCTGAACTCCAGGATTATCAATCAGACATCTCTCCTCCTTAACCAAGACATAGCTTCTTTTCTTTCATAGGAAATATTTAAGATTTCTTTTCCTTAATGAGATATGTGTACAAAGAGACCCACATTTGCTATAGATTGGCCTGCCTACCAAAGAAAGGAAGCCCATCCATCTACAATGCTGAGTACCCTGGCAGGTCTTCCTTAGGAAGGAGCTCACATTGACATTTACCATTTACTAGAATAATGGTCAACTTGAATGGTAGGGTATGAGTTTTGACATTAATTCCCTCCATGTAATACTCTTGCCCTAATTTTCTTAAGTGGGAGCATGTGTCATACTAACTAACTTACATGACATTTTTTCATTCAACTTAAATATTATTTCCAAACTGTTTAAAAGCATTTACTATTGCTGGATTAAAAAAAAAAACCCAGTCCTCTCATCAGGGCACCTCAATGGTGACCACAACTCAGGGAAATTCTGGATGCGTTACCAGTAATTACTTCCTGAGTCATAGCTATTTACTTTCTCAAAAGTATGCCCCACATATTCCATTTAGTTCCCATGCCTGCACAGTAGTTGCAGAAAGCAGTCATTTCTTTTATGAAAAACCTACCTTTGCATCTGGTCCTGGTGAGGTAGTCTGTTGATCTAAATGAGGTTAATTAAAATCCTTCATTGTTAAATTACCTTACCTCAATGCACAAATCCGAAAGACAAATCCCTTTTCCTATTGTTTCCAATAACGTGTGTGTATGTGAGTGTTAGTCACTCAGTCATGTCTGACTCTTTGCTACTCCATTGACTGTAGCCCGCCAAGCTCCTCTGTCCACGTAATTCTCCAGGCAAGAATACTGGAGTGGGTTGCCATTCCCTTCTGCAGGGGATCTTCCCGACCCAGGGATAGAACCCGGGTCTTTTGTACTGCAGGCAGATTCTTTACCATCTGCGCCACCAGGGAAGCCCTACTTAGCCATGTAAACTGAAAGATCTCATGTAGTTTGAGATACACTCAAATCTTGCATTTGTAAAAAGGATAAAACCCCTGCATTTATTTAATAATAAGACAGTAGAAATGGCCTGATGGGAATGCTGATAGGGACTGGGATTTGAAGATTATGCTGCTAATCTTTTATTGTGAAATCTGAAATGTTCTACCCCAGTTTACCAAATGAATGAGCCCTTCGGTTCCACCCTTCTCCCTCCCATCTTTCTCATCCTAGTCTCTGAAAAACAGAGTTATGATATACTTTCACCATTTTTAAGAATCTTTCTACATACCTGGCTTTGAAATAAATTTAAGGAACAGGCCAGAGCAAGAGTGTTTAAAGGTAACCACTTTTGCACTTTGAGGAATAGATATCTTTAGTCATGGTAATAGACTGCTTCAAGGCTATCTAGAAGAAAGTCTGACAAGCAATTTTCTCCATTTTTAACATCTTATCCTTTTCTTAGACTATATGAAATTCAAAACAAAGATTAAAAAATATCCATATATTAAGTGGTTTCCTGTAATCTGTAACTAGATCTACTGCTAACAGTAATCCTAACCCTGGCCCTGTACCATTTCTGCCTATATTTAAATATAAAATTTTAAAAAGCTTAATGTGGCCCCAGGTTCCTAGCTGAACTGTTGTCTACCTTGTGTATAAATTTCTTGAGAAAAGTTTCACTTTTTACTTCATTCATCACAAACTTCTAAGAAAAAGCCAAGCTGGAATTTGTATGTAAGAAGAGTGTACTTGATGGAAAAATAGTACTTGGAGATAGCAAACATGACCTAATTGAACTGAAAGGTAAGATAAAGAAACACTTCTAAAACTGTTCTTTGTGTCCTAGAGTTGATTTGAGGAAGTGGTCTCATTAATTTCCTTAGGAGTAAACATGGATAGATACATGTTGAACTGAGTTGTAGAAATGGCTTTGCTTCCCACAGTTGCAAAGCAAGTCAGCACGACAGACATTTGGGTTGAAAATAACAACCCAAATGCCAATGTATGCAAAAATGTTTAGTGAGTCTTTGAATTTTACACCAAAAATGCTAGCTTCAAATGATTAATTAGTAATATATAAACTTTCATTGGCAATTAATTTGTCTTTTTGAATATTTCCATTCAGAACACTCCTCCGTGAATCACACAAACCTGCAGTGATAACACATGTGCAGCAATTTCCCTTCATATCAGATGAAAACTAGAATAATCAAAACACAAGCACAGTGAAAGGCTTACCGAGGTGTACAGGTATCCCTCACTGTTCATTGCCAAATACAACTTGGTTTGAACTCCTTGAATAGCCACCACTCGAAGACCCACAGGGATGAGGTTAAACAGAGCTGCAACCAAAAAGAATGTGAAAACAAGGTTACAATATCGAATTCCATAGCTTTTCAATGTTTCCAGCAGGGCTATCCGGTCTTCCAAAAGTAAAGTCTGCTTGGTAAGAATATTCATATATGTATATATGAATAGATAGATATAGATGATAAAGCCTCTTCCACCTTTCAGTACCCTCAATTCATGGTTATAGTCACATAATGGGGATGTAATTTTCAAACACCCTGGAGAAAATGGAAGGGAATTCCATGGTTTGTAGTGTTGGAGGTGGGGAATCTTGATGCTTCTGAAGTGATTCAGTTCCAGGAATTAGTCTACATATTAAATAACTTTATCTTCAACAAACCAAGGTTTTAAACTGCTCTCTTAGATAACTGCTGAGATTCACAGACACAGATATGATCTACCAGTTGGGGAGAGATTCCTAGAATCTTAGAAAAGATACTAGTCCAACTTCTTCACCTAAATTATCTGTATTATTTCTGACACAACCGGTAAAAAAAAGAAATCCAGGACTTGGAAAAAAAAAAGTCATTTTGGAATCTTATGTTCCCAGAGTAGTATTTCTTAAAGAATATTTTTCTAAGATGGGGTTCAGAGGGGTCTTAGCTTTTAGTGTCCGGGAGCAAAGGTTATAGGAATAAAAACAATGAACTTGAGAATTTTATTTAATTTTTTTTCCTAAATAGTTGTAAGCGGGCAGCTGGCTGGTGCCAAAGAGGACTTCATTTCTCCATTTGAAGGTCTGATTGCGTGAAACTTACATCCCGGCTGTCCTCACAATCACACACCACTCACTGGAGAAAACCAGTGGGTGCCTTCCCCCTGCCAGCTGTCTACTCCCTCCTACACCAGGAATAAAAATAAAACAGTACATTTTTAAAACATAGTGCTTGCCACACACATCTTTTGAAAATAGCCTGTGCACCTTTCTCTCAAGACTCCTAGACCAATGTTGACGATTTTTGCTTTGGTGTGTAAGTTTATGGAGGATGATAAATCGGTCTGCTATCATTTCTGTGAGCAAGAACGTAGTCACCCCGTGGGCAAGAATATTTTTTCTCAGCTCTCTTATCTTGATGTATATATATTCTACTGCAGTAGGTGGAGTTATAGAGATGAGAAATATTAATGAAGAACTCAATATTCTTTGGTGAGCCTACAATGTACCTTTCCCTTAAAACCAGGGTGTTACCACAGAGGAGCTAGGACAGATTGTATGGTGCAAAATGCAAGTGTTCCTACCACATGCTGCTGATGGCACTTCATTCAATATTCATCATATTAAAAGCTGTGCCCTTCTGTTATGTGAGGTGAGGGAAAGGAATTGCACAGATTGGAAGCCAGGATCTCATGCTATATTTGACCATGCAGTGCCCAGGAGTGAAGTCTGATCTTGTTCAGCATGTCATGTATATGTTCCAGCTCTTTCTGTGATGGCACCTTGCTCACGGCAGGTGCTCAACCTACATTTGTGGACTGCTAACAATCTGGATGGTGAAATCATGATAATATTATATTTTTGAAATGTAATAGATCACAGTCCCATTACATAACAGCTCAGAGTTTTAAAATTCTGATATCTAAGAAATCAAATGAAATCAAACAAAGACCTCCTTATGGGTTTGGCTTAAAAGGCATAGCACTAGACAACTAGAACACCAGCGTAGGCTGGAGTCCTAGTTTAATCAAACTAAAAGATGATGATATATGACAGGTAATAAAGGATGTTTAGAATTGTTTCTAGAGCTCCATTTTTTACAGTATTCTGAACCTTCTTAGTTCCCTGAATGCAGGTGGTAACAAGCTAAAAAAAGAGAAAGAAAGAAAGAAATATTTGATTTTCACCACATGCCCCAACTATTCTGACGTGTGTTTTAATGGGCAATAAAATGTTTAATTCTCAAACATCAGATAGCAGTAGAAGGAAGAGAAGCAAAGAATATGAGTAACCCATGCCCAGGATTATCTATCCCTGAATAATGGTATGAACTACACAGTGGCACATGGATTTTCCACTATGCACCATAGATATTTGTGATGCCCGATTCAGAAATAAAAAATACCATGCTAAAATAAAAAATTGAAGAAAACAGCAAAAGTGGAGAGTGACTGGTGATATCAGTCCAATTGTTTTTCTGTAGACATTTAATATCATAAACATTTAAGATCACTAAGATGAATTTATGATCAATTAATATCATAAACAGGTTTGTTTCAAGTTTGTCTAAAGGGACAGTCTTTCCAGATAAAAATGCAAAGAAATTATTACATCAAGGGTGAGCTTGCACAGATTAAGTATTCTCCAGTATGCCTCTGTTTCTCTCAACCTGGAGTACTTCTTCATGGACTTAGGATATTATTTTGATTAGGATGAAAATATGCTAAGCATGAGAAGAAAACAATGGATTTTGTGTGTATCTAAAACACATTCATTAAACATCTGATACTTCTTCTTCCATTTCTGTCAAAATTTCGAGGAAGAAATAAAAGGGCCCCATTTCTTGTTTCCTGTTGTATCTACATGAAAACAATTAAACTCCTTGTACATTGAAAGACCCGTTTTTTCTTAGAGATGTGCACAGAGTTGGCACTCAGTGTTTGCTTAATACAAAAAGGAGGTCATCTTTTTTTTAATCAGTTGGGTTAAGATCAACTTCTCAAAGGGAGCAATTTAAAAAGTATATCTTAATGTTGATCAGAAAGACTTGACCCATTAAATTGGTAACACTACTGGAGGTTTGAAAGGAAAGTTGCCTATTCTAACATCACCCTCACTGAATCCAAGGCAGATATAATAAAACTGCTCTCATGAAATGTCTATCATCTTTTCCTTTTCAGGGGGCAATACATAATTTACAATGGCTGATTTGCTCATCTTGAGATTTTACTGGACTGATATTTACCATTGTAATAAAGCTACTTAAGGTCAGCTTAAATGCATAATACCAAATATATGCTTTTAGAAATAGATGTATCTTGGTAAATGTGAATTGATTTGTTTTATCATGATCTGGCTTATCATGTCAGATTTAAAATATCATAAAATCAACCAAGGTGAACCAAGTGAGAAAAAAATATGATGAAAAACCCTAAAAATTAAGAAAAATATAAACATAAATGACAAGAATGCATATTAAGGAAATAGTATATAAACAAAATAAATAATGAATGCCAAGAAAATTGCTTGGCTTTAGGGGGAAAAAAATGAATACATCTGCATAGTTAAGACTTCCATTTTAATGATGATCATTTTAATGATCACTTTAACCATTAAATATTCTTGTTTCATGATGACTTACACCCTACAATATACTCAAGTGGGAAGAAAAGCTAGCCCGCCGGCCTCTGATCACACTTGGCAGCTGGGGCAGAGTCAAGCCCCACAGACTTGCTATTTCTTCTGAGACACTTCATTTGTGTGCTTCATCTTATGGTAATACTCATCGTTGGCTGACTCACCTCTCATTATTTCATTCTGCCTAAACACAGACTCTGGCTCTTTTAAGGCCCAACAATATCATTAGTATGCAGAAATGCCATGCATATCAGTCAGTTATAAGACAACCAAAGGCAGGAGCTACGCATATGCATGAACTGAAAAGTAAAACTGACTACCTGAGTCCACAGTTAAGGAAATGGAGCCTTATTTACACACACACGTGTGTGTGTGTATACACACGTGTCTATGTGTAGATATATGTGTGTGTATAGTACTCTACAGTGACTACATACGTGTGATCTTGAGGTGTGTGCCGTATCACTGCTTATACAACAAATGAATCGTCCGGGTTTTTTTCCTTTTCAGGAGAGGTATGTGAACATTGGACCCAAAATAAACTTTTTCTCTGATTTCTGCACTAATCTACAGAAAATGTTAAAAGTAGGTGAGGGAAAACCTGACTGCATGGGGGTCATTAGCAGCTGATCATGAACTTCCTTTTAGTAGTGCCCAAAGAATCCGTTTTGCTGAGGCACTTTGGAAAGAGGAGCAGCTTTGCTGTTGTTCAGTCGCGAAGTCGGGTCCAACTCTTTGCGACCCCATGGACTGCAGCAATTCATGGGAACGTTTTATGATGGACTCACGTCTGTTATAGGGGAACAGTAAAACCCTCTAATTAGCCTTGACTCATTTTTTTCAAACAGAAGAGTATACCTGAAAGAACATCTAGCATCCTCATTGTAGAACTGCAACAGTAACAGCATTTTGCAAAACACTGAAGAACTATGAAATCATTTATGTATGGAACTTTTTCATCCTAGGTACCCACAGAGCTTTCTTTAAGGGTAATTAAAGGTGACTTCCTCCTGAGGTCTTGCCTTGGCCATCAATCAGCCCAGGAAGCTGTCTTAAAACATGTGAAACCCTTTTAACACTCAACATTGGAACCCTTGGTCTATGGCTTTGTTCTCTCGAGCCCCGTACCTCTGGAAATGTTGCAGAGGACTTGTTAGCTTTCAGATGGGCTTTTCTTGGCAATGGCACAATTTCTGGGAGATTAATGAAGTCTGAGGGAAATGCAATATAAATTACGGAAAACTGGGAAGGAATTGTGAGAATTAGGTGATTTAGTCTCATGAAACATTGAATATGTCTACAGCAATCTTCTAATTGCAAAAAAAAACCCCACCAATTATTATCATTGAAGAGGGTGTCACCATTAAGGAGTTCATGCATTTATGACTCCAAATAAATAAAGCCTATCACAAAAGGTTATATAACATCTTGGAATCCTATCCTTCAGTAATTGGAAATAAAACTTTCTTTTTGATGTGTTTCTCTTTTAGGTTCACCATGATGGTCTCCAATTTGGTCTTGACTTAAATCACGATTAAAAATAAAGTGCTCAAAGAAATCTCTTTACCCACCTGTGGAAGTATCTCAATGTTAAAATCCCAATTAGTCTGAGAATTATCAGTGTGTGTAGGGCAGGGGGAACAGAAGTGAAAGCTTGTAATGATGAATTCTCCTGACATGAAACCACTCTTCTCTCTTGGGATGAGACCGGTGCTTAAGAGTACAGATAACTGTGCTATTTCAGGATCAGTGTGGGGGTGAGTAAATTTTCTGTGGGAAAAAAGTAATAAAATCCAAAGGACAGCCATAAATCTATCCAGATTACCATGGAGATGACATTTGGACTGTTCTTCAGATGGTGTCAACATTATTTGCTACAGTTCACTATTTTAGATATTTTTCTGTTCCCCTTCCTTTAGGCTAACCTGCTGAAATGGGATGATATAGTGCTGACTCTATTTTGGATTCACTTCGGGATTAAGCAGGGTTGTTTACTTAAAAAAAAGAAAGTGTCAACCATATGCTGGGATATACTATTATTTATTTTGCAGTCACTTACTGTAAGTGCTGTCCTCATCTTTGGTGCCATCAATAGTTCCATCTGCCTGCAGCTGCAAGTGGTAACCTTGTCGACTGTATAGCTTGGTAACTATACCCTTAAGCTGAGGCTCTGCAAAGAGAAAGATGGTTGGGATCAATTGATAAGTTGTGCACATATGGTTGAAAAGACTTAGAATTCTAATTCCAGTTATACATTTTAGTGGAAAAGGTCAAATGACACTTTTTATAAAGAGTCCTCTGAAAGAAGGAAAACAAGCAAACAAACTGCAAGTTTCAGAACCAACCTCCGGACTGAAGAAACATGTGACTGCCACCTGGTAACAATGGTAAAGCCCTAAAGCTACTGACCACAGAGACAGTTTCTGATGGCGTGTCCTTTTGCTTACAGAGTGGCACTTCATCTCATTGAGCATTCAAAATGGCTTGGCAAGTGGCATATTCTGCCTTTTAACACCGTGCCACTTCTCATGCGGAAGGAAAAGGAGAAACACTAAGATGAGATTTAGAGTGGTTTTCCAAGCAGGGACCAAAAACACACCAGCAAAAGTTTCCCTCAGAATCACCACAGTTGGAATAAAGCATCCCCTCCATTCTAAAAAGGTTAAAACTACATAAACAATCTGGAACCCCATCAAAGGATTTCTATTTAGAAAACTGAGCCACCATACAAAAAAGGAGGGGGGGAGGGAGAATAAAACAAACATATTAATTATCCTTAGGGGAAAATGCGTGCAAAGAGCTGGGGTTTTGTTGGTGGGGAGGCAAGAAAATTAGTTCATACTTATTTTCAAATTTAGTATCAGAAATGTAATTATCCAAAATATGTGTTCTCAAGATAATTTTCAATTATGAATCACCATAGATTAATGAAGCACCTCATTTATCAATAACAGCCGTGCTATCCAAAATTTGCTTTTATTGAATACAGACACCTTCACTGAAATAATATTTATGTCATTATTCAGACCACATAAACATGCTTTGCCACCGCTTAAACCTGTTTCAAAGCAAGCCTAATTTACAGCTAATTCCTTAAAAACTTCGAGCAAGCAGAAAATGCATGTCTGCATGTTCATTCCAGGATGTGTAAAACACACAAATAGCGAAATAACAGACTGATACGTCAGAAATTCTGTAATGTGTATCTAGTACAAGTAAGACAATTGAGTAAAGGATCCATTTGGTTAAGGGGAGCAAAGAAGCTGCTTCTTGGCCTGAAGGTCTACCTTGACGCAACCCGATACCTCGAGCTGTGTGAATTTCCCCTGGCGCCGGAACAACGCGCTGCTCTTCTCACTGAATTGGTTCAAAAGGACCCACGATCTGCTTAAATTCTCTCTTCAATCCTGCATTTTAGGAGCAAGTAACCAACCAATTTGACTAATCGAACCAGATCACTAAGCTCTCGGCCACAGGTTCTAGGAATCCACCCCCTCCTCTCCAGCAAATATTTCAAAGCTACACCACAAGTCTGTCCCAGTAAGCTTAAAAGTGACCAAAGAAACAGAATGCCTAGACAGCGGAAACCCAGGGTCCTTGGGGAAGGGTCAGCGCTGCAGGGATGAAGGCAAGGGAGGGATTCCCTGGGTTCTCCCTGAGGGGAGGGGTGGGCAGGGGTCTGCCCGGCTCCGCGCCTGCAAAACACGCCATCCACACGGCTGCCCAGAGCTCCCGGGCTTGCACACATGTGGCCTGTCTGAAGCTGATGGCGCGCCCGCTGGGCAGGGTATGCCCCCCAGCTCTGCGCCTGTCCCACGGCAGTTGCAATGCAGCAAGCCTGTTACTGTTACGAAGGAGGCGAGAGAGCGATCGCTTCCCACGCACGCACACCGGCTAGGTGGCCACATCCGCACTAGATGGGCCACCGACAAACTCACCTCCGCTTCCATCCACGCCCCCAAGCCCCCTCCATACTCGTAAAGTACGAAGAGAGAGAGAGAAAAAAAAAAAGCCAGCCAAGAGCCCCCTTCCAACCTGGTCTCCTTCTGCGCCTCTTCTTGGAGCCGAAGAGTTTGACCCGGGAAAAGACGTTTAACTTGTTTTTGTCGCAGCTGGTCTTGCCTTTGCTGGGGCTGCTGACACATTTGCAGGCGTTCGATTTCTCGCGCTCGCGGGCTTGTCGCTTCTGCCGGATGAGCGAGCTGGCGATAGCCGCCGCCATGGCCACGACGCCCACCACCACCACTTCTTTCGCGGCCCCTCTCCGGGTTCGCCTCCTCCTCCCGCGCCTCCGCCGCTCGCCCGGTCGGTCTCGCGCCTCCGCCGCCTTCGTCTCCGGAGCCGGCGCTTGCCCGGGCTTCTCGGCGCTCGGGCTTCAGCCGAGGAGGGGGCTCAGCATCCCGGCCGAGCTCCTCCGGCGGTGGTCCGGCTCCCGCGCGGGCGGCCGGCTTGCCTGGGTCCGAGCCGACGCCACAGCCCCGGGCCGGGCTCGCGGGCGAGACTGGCTGGCAGGCGGTGGCGGCAGAGCGGCGCGGGTGCGTGCGCTCGGCCCCTGCGCCCGGAGGACACTGCGAGTCCAAGTGGCTCGGGTCGGAGTTTGGCGGCACCCCCCGCCCGGTGCCGCGCGGAGGGGGCCGGAGGAGGGAGGCGGGCGGAGGGAGGGAGCGCGGGCGGGAGAGCGAGGCCGGGAGCGCGGGCGGCGGCAGGGAGGGGGGGGATGGAGGGACCGTGCGGGGTGGGGATGGGGGGGCGCGCCCTCGCCCTGGCCCCTCCGAGCCTCCCACTAGTCCTTGCAACTTCTTGGCCCGCCGATCGGGAAAAGTTGGCCCGTGCCAGCTTTCCGACGCGGCTCAAACAGGTAATGGCCTCGCATCTTTGCTGCCGCCGCTGCCGCCGCTGCTGCTCTGGGCGCGGCACCGACTCAGTATAGGAATTCTGTCGCTGCAGGCACCCTCCGGAAGAGCGCGACGGCCTCCCGCGGCCCCCTCCCCCGGTGGCCCCTCCCTCCCGGAGCCCAGCCCGCTGGCGCCCCGCCGCCGGCCGCCCCCACCCGCCGCATCCCCCCCAAGTCCCCGGCGGGCCGCTCGGGCTAACACCTGTCGGGGCTCCGGCACTGCCCCATCGCCCAAACCCTCCTCCCCTCCTCTTCCCCAGAGGAGCCTCGGGCGGAAACAGTGATGGAGGAGACACCGGGATGAGGCAGTTGGGTTGGAGGCGCGGGGAGGCGGGTGGGGGTTGCTTGGAGATGGGGGATGGCGGGGTGGGATGTTCCGTTCCTGGGTGATTCGAAGTTGGCCCCAGGACGCCCGGGCTGGAGCCCAACGGAAGTTCGCCAGCCCCCTGCCCCAGGCTGGGACTTGCCACACGCACTCCCCTCCTAACACACACTCGCTGAGGTTTTTCGCATGGCGACACTTGTAGCCATTTCGGAGCGAGGCCGGGGCTCGCAGACGGGTTCGGCCTCCCCCCTCGGCAGCAGCAGTAGCAGCAGGCACTGCAGAGCTGCGCCCGCACACCACGCTGCCACCCAGTGGTTTTTGCTGACTTTTCATTTCAGGCCAGTTTGTGCCTTCCGAACCCCGTTTTCCCTCTGCGCCCCCTCACCGTTCAGCTCGGCTTTGGGATCCACGCAAAGAAGTCGTGTACAGAAGCAGTATCTGGGAAATGCAGAGCTGAGCCTTTCTTTAAGCTCTGGCGCGTCTCCAATATCTTAACTTCTTTTTTTTTTTTTATTTCCCCTGCTCCTCAAGCTCAGGCAGCCTGCCTCCCTCCAATTCAGGAATCAAGTGTGGCTTTTTGCCCGCCTCACTCAATTCACAAGTTCTGCCCCATCTCGTACTTGATTTCTATGCCAGAAAGGAAGCCCCTCAACAGTAGGTCAGCTCTGACATGGAGCTATCACTACTGCTCTGTCGACTAGACCTCCAGCTCTTTTCAGAACTGCTGCAGATGCAAAACCAAATGCCCAGGCTCTGGTCCTTTCCTGACCTTTTGGGCCTGAGCCTCAACTAAGAAACTGAAATCTTTCAGGCTTCTTACTTTTAGCCCGTCAGAGTTAAAGCTCTTGAACCTTCTGTAAATTTCACTGCTCCACCGGGTAAGCTGCTGCTGTCTCCCTTTCACCTTTCCCCAATCTTGAAGTGTCTCTTGTCCTATGGGAAGCACAACTGTGTCTGCTGAGGTGCACTGGCCTGAAGGTTGCGGTGACTGAAATGGATAGACACGAGACAATGATGCCCAACAGTCTGAAATTTCCTGCAGGTTAGTCTACCACTCTTTCCTGCTTTGCGTTTTCCCAAGAGAAAAGGGAGGACAAGGAAGAAAAGTTTTAGCATCTCAAGTCCACTGAAGTATCTTTAGACTTTAATTCATGGGGGAAAAACCCTGGGCTGCTCCCTCGGGACTCTGAACGCCTTAAAAATTGGGACTGGGTCTTGGTCACCACTATATTCCCACCCCCCGGCACGTTTTCTGTCCACATAGTTTAAGCTCAAGAAAAGTTTATTAAAAATAATTGACAAGTGACTGATTGATACTGATTCTGAAGGGTACAAAGATGTTTCCTGGCTCAGAAGGTATTTGATTTAAATTCCAACTACAATGAAGGGAAATAATCTCCCCAAGAGAGGGGTTGAAAGCAGCTCTGACCAGGACCAAATATTTGGGGTGTGGGATGGACAGTTAAGAGATTCCTACTCATTGTGCATGCTTTTACCTTCTGCTGTGTACTACTTTCAAGACTACCCCCCTACCACCACCGCCACAAACCCACCTTTTTTTCCTCTTGTTTCTCTCTTGGGACCTTGCACCAAAGCAGGCATGACAAAGCTAAAGAAAAACACAGTCCTGATTCAGACAAGGGACAGAACTTGGGAAGAATAAGGGAATGGTACTGAGAAAATAATGAGGGCTTTCCCAGGTTCTTCCCACTGCTTCTCCACCAGGTCAGCACTCACTGTTTGCTTGTCTGAACATCACTCACAAGGTATTTGCAGATGAGATTTGAGGTAAACAGATGCAGAGAAGACTTCGGGGATATATAATGAAGAGAAGCGGCGCACCATTACAGAGACTCAAACACAAACATGTAAATACATCAACTCTTTTTCTGACTCCTATCCACCACCCCAGGATTTTTTTACACATGTAAATTAGAGAATTAAATTCTAT